AAAGTGGCTATTGCCCTACCTATCGGAGAAGTTTTGTTTCACTGGTGTGTATATTTGTTTGGTTATAGAGGATACTCTCCTTGTCTTTTAAAGAGCCTGAATAAGAATCCGAAAACTTTAACTTCGATTTTCTCAAAACAGCATTTTTCGGGTTAGCCCACTTGTCCTTATAAGCAACCATATATGTATGGACACTCCTGGAAATTTAAGTCAGCTTGGCAGTGACCTAGGTGTTTTGTCGTTGATCCTGATTTTTTTCACCAAGTCTCAATCCCCCCCCCCCCCCCTGAGATCCTGACTTATAGATTTCAAAGAGTGGCAGGTCTATTTTTCTTGGTGTACTACAGTCGAAATTGACCCCTTTTGGTTTGTTAACTTTTTTATTTTTTTGATAGGCCCAACTGCTCAACCACCACCACTCTTCCCCCCTCCAAATGGTCACAACTTTAATTCTAGTCAGTATTACTCATTTATTTCTTAAGTTAATTAAACATCGTTAGCGTTCAATCATAGTCATGGTCACTCTGTGTGTGTCTGTGTGAATGTGCGTGTGAGTTAAATGTTTATATATGCAAAAAATCTTACTATAAAATTATGAGATAATTGGCCTTTACCCTTTAAGTTTCTAAAACAAGGGTTTAAATACCCTTTAAGATAGAAAACCAAAGGGTGAAGGAACCTCATTAAGTTGGCCTGAGAAGGGGAGCTCTGTGTAGACTCTAGATCTAGAGATGTGGGTGGTTGGCGGGTGCTCTGATGTGGTTTGCTGCTTCTTTCTTATCAAACATCTATCGTCATTATCTCCCCTTCTTCTTTTTTATCTTTGTTACTCTCTTGTAACACCTCTAATCTTCTGGCGCTCATATGACCTTATGCAATTGCGAGCGCTGTAAAACCTCTACTAGAAAAGATCTCTAGATTTATATATCTAGGCCGGGGGCTCTCGTGACCCAGAGGTTAAGGTGTTGGCCTCTCATTCAAAGGTGCTGGGTTCGAATCCAGGTAGCGACGGAAACATTTTCTTCTCTAAAATTGTCTCCTTTCACTTCCTTTCCTGCTCTCTAGCAATTTTCTGTCGTCTGCTTTCGTCTCCTCTTTCTGCCCCCACCCCCTAACCTCCTTTGCCCCCTCCTCTTGGCTCCTAACTCTTTCTGCAGCCTTTCTACTGCTACTCCTTGGCTCCTTCTTACTGTTGTCTTTCAGCCATACCCCTGATCTTCTGGTAGGAAAGATCTACTCGTAGCCTTTTCGGACATGGGCGAAAAATCTTGGAGAGTTCGTGTGAAAGTTGCGCTTGTTAAAAATCCCTTGGTTGTCTAAAATCGATAAGAGTAGGCTTCGGCCGCCACCCGGGCAAAATTCAAAATTTCCTACCAACAGAAAAACTTTAATGTGTCCCGCGCGCTCATATGACTTTATGCAGACTTAGCGAACGCCGTAAAACACTTAGCCTACCTAAAAAAAATTTAAAATATCTAGATCTAGATCTAGGTCTAGGCCTACTATTTTTTTTAGCAATTTGACAAAGTAGAATCTAATTTTTTTTAAAATGAAAAGATAGTATTTAGAAATATATCTAGATATCTATGCCCCCCCCCCTTACTCCACCCTTACTCTAACCCCCACCCAGGGATGTGGTGTCAGGTGGGTTGTAAAGATGATAGGGCATACCGTGACCGAATATTGAAATCACACTCAGTTTATATTATTAAGATGCATTTATGACTGAAAAGATAGATGTAGTGAAAAACGCATGAAAAAACGAGGTGAAAATATTATTTTTAAAGTTAAAGGTACATGTTTTATACAGTGGAGTCCACTTACAACGAGTCCTGAAATAACGAGAAGTCTGTTATAAAGGCACTATTCTAAAACCCTGTTTTTTCCCTTCTTTATCTTTGTAAATAAAATACTGCTATTGTGCAATCAGACAGTCAAGCGAGTCGGTTATAACGAAATATTGGTGCTGCAGTGCACAGCGTGCAGACCAATTAAACATATAAACCTCGTCAGTTGAAAAAGTTGTTGGTGATCCGGCGAAACCAAAAATGGGAGAGCCCATGCGAACCGACAATGAAGGCTGGAGGGAATGAGTGGGGAGGGCGTGGCATGCGCAGACAAACAAAACGCATCACGTGATAGGCCAGCCCAGTCTAGATTATCTAGTCCTACCATGCCTCTCACTACTCTGGTGCGGGATGGAGAGGTCACAATGCTTTGATAGATGGAATGAATATGTGACGTGCGCAAGCAGACGCAACGCACCACTGAGTGTGGTGGCGTGGGGGAACGACATAGTGGGCCAGTTAGCCTAGAGCCAGAGCCCCTTCTTTCTGATCACCAACGCCGAGCTGTGAACATTGCTAGTGCTAGAGAAAAAAACCTGATTCTGTTTTTTATCAAGTAAGACCTAGAGGTCATGTTGAACAAAATCATCATCAGGAGAAATACAAAATGGAATAAACAGAATACCAAACTCATAGATTAGGCCTACTTTACTATTTCCCTTGAATTTATTACTGGATCCCTTACAACGAGAATCCTGCTATAACGGACATTTCGCATCAGTCCCCTCCCTCTTGTTATAACAAGATTCCTCTGTATCTTGTTAGTGGCTAGAACATTTGAAACTAGGAAAATAGACTCACCTATCTATGCATAATATTTTTGTTCATGTACATGATAATTGTTTGTGTAGTCCTAGTCTCTTGACAGTCACTTAGCTTCAGTATGGTATATAAAGAACTTTACTAAGCGAATTTTCAAAAAGTATTCTACTCAATGCATTGCTCCGTTGAAGAAAAAACATTAGATTCCAATTAAAAACTACCTCAACTTACTGATGCATTACAACGGCGCTTGCTTCATTGTTTGGGTGATTTCCACACACAGAACTTTAAGTGAACAGAATGCGCACAAGAAATCACTAAATGTTAATACTATCAAAACTACATTCAAGTTGTGCACACACAATTTTAGACCATTGACATTAACGCAGTTATAACACAGCCTAACCAAAGAACACACTGAAAGCTGAGGAAGGGGAAAAAGAGGGTGGGGGGGGGGGGGCGGGCAGGCGGGGCGTGCTCAGTCTACACGTAAAACTTTGGCCTGAAGCCACAAGGTTTGTGCAAATTTGGTGCGAAGAGTCAGGAATGCAATGCCTTATCAGCCCCCGAGCCTAATAGAACCATCAGTTGTTTTGTCTCGGCCTTGAACTATGTAAGGTCAAGACCCTAATGACGTTCAGTCTGGGAATTTAAACCCTGAGGCTTAAGAGACAAACCAATGAAATTTCTTTCTCTTCGACGGAAGGAGCATCTGATTGGATGGAGCTAGCTTTAGTCATAGTAAGAATAGTAGTAGACACCCAGACAAATCAGATCACTGTATTTGAGTTATTATGACTCAGAAGTTTCGTTTGGGTGTTCGTGGAGTTCCTCTTTTTTTCGGAATACATTATTATACTTTTTTTTTTGTACCTTTTAAAATTTGCGTGAAATCTTTTGTTTCGATTTTAATCTGAGAAGTAAATTTTTGATGATGAAACAAGGCGGGGCTGAAGCTGCAAGCCCCTTCCCACAAGACACCACTGAACGCATTTAGGCTTAGCATTAATAATATAGTTAAATTAAAAGACCAAGTATTTCAAAAATAAATAGTTTGCAATGAATATAAAATCAATTTTCATGTAAAACTGTTTAAAATGAACATTAAAAGTGATAAATCTGGACCTGGGATGGGAGTGAAAGTAAAATAATATTGGAAGTGCGATAGGTCTGCCGGCAGTAGTCAAGTTGTACACCGCTAGCTACCCAGGACAGTTTTTGTGCCAGCACACCTTTTGATCACTTTGAAGACAAGCGGTGAAATCACTGCTCAGGGTTCAAATGGGTGGGGTGATAGCTACCCCTCTTCTACCCCCCCCCCCCCCCCCCCCCTACCCCCTCCCTCATCATGTGAAGGAGCAAAGGGATTCCATTATGACAGGTTTCCATTATAGCAGGTTTTACATTAAAGATGTACAGGACTGTTGAATTACATGACATGAGTTCCAAGATGACCCCCAACAAAATTTCTAGTGGTAGTGGTCATAGTATCTATGTAAGGCTGGTTAAAAAAATAAAAGTATGGTAGACCTACTTTTAATGTGGTTTTTATATATTATATGATTGCATATATATCTCTGGTCTTAAGTCTCTGAGAATGTAGCTAAATCAGCACCCTAGTAGAGAAAACTGGTTCCTGTATAAAAACAACTATTTCTTTGTACATTTAGTCAAGAGGAGGAGAAAGTGTAGAAGACTTCCAGACTCTCACTAGTCTCAGTCAGACTTGACAAGTTTATGCGACTGCAAGATAAATTTTGGGGTTCATCCCCACGGCCCACACCAATTCCCAGCAGCATTGCAAGTGGAGATAATAATGATAAAGTCCTACCAATCCTTTCTACAAAAATTCTGTTATCAGTCAATTGTCAATCAGATTACATCAGTTTAGAGTCATGATTGTTATTGTATTCACTGTATTGTTCAGCTTAGAGCTGCTGACAGAGTGACAATTGAAATGAAGTGGAGTGTGATAACCTTCCGACAAATCTTGATTCTATCTTGGACTTGGTAGATAGCTATAACATCTGACGTGCTCAATAACCGCAGCAATGGTTTGTTCTTAACTTAAAGACTGATTATAAAAAAATGCTAGAACAATAGACCTTTAATTTTGTAATGTCATTTTTTTTTAAATAGGGGAGGGGGGGGGGCAAAGGGGATGGACCGGGAGTTGATTTCATTCTCTTTTTGTGTCCGACTCTAATGCTTGCAACACTGTTCCCTGTTTAGAGATAAATTTTAGATAAAAAGACGTTTACTTTTAATTGCATTGGGACTCTAATTGCTTCATTGATTTTTTCAAGACCTTTCTTTTTCATAGCATTTTCATCATTGGAAAATATTCTTAAAATCAATTCTAAGTGAAGATAATTTTTTGTGTTTTCAAAGGTTCTAAATTGTGCCCATGCAGAGGACCAACTTAAAATTCAAGATCGGACCTGAAATGATTGATTGTGAAGGTGTCAGCTGCTTTTTATTGTGCACATAGAGATTTGAGAACCATTTCATGTAAGTGGCATGCTTAAATAGTTATAATGTTCTAATGATAATGTAACAATGTAATTATCTGATATATTTTGCAGAGGACTGCCTGATTTTGTCTCCCACTTCTCCTCTCTCTCTCTCTCTCTCTCTCTCTCTCTCTCTCTCTCTCTCTCTCTCTCTCTCTCTCTCTCTCTCTCTCTCTCTCTCTCTCTCTCTCTCTCTCTCTCTCTCTCTCTCTCTCTCTCTCTCTCTCTCTCTCTCTCTCTCTCTCTCTCTCTCTCTCTCTCTGTGTGTGCATGTTTGCTAATGTGATGTTCACTTTGAGGATTATGTAAGTAGGAATCTGGTGGAGAATTTTATCACTTCACAGAGTTTTTTAAATTTAAAGTAAAAATGAATTGTCCCTACAAATTTACTAATGTATGTTTGTGTGTCTTTTGTTCTTTTTAAGACATTCTGACTTATTTCCTGTGACCAAAGACAGAGCAGGCTGGATATTTGTAAAAAGTTAGTGCTGTCTTTGACAGAATGTTTCGTGGGAAGGACAAGGTGGCAGATGTTCACGTGGTCATTGTTGGAGCTGGTATCTCTGGTCTCACGGCCGCATACAAACTGAAGATGAAAGATCCAACGCTTAAGATTGCTGTTTTAGAGGGGAAAGGTAATTATGAAAAAACATTATATAGTTTGTCAGATGACTCTTAAGCATTTACATGTAGAAAAGAACTCAAAAGCTTTTGCTTTACATTCTGTTCCATATTTACTTTTGGTCTTTTGAATGTTTGTTTGACCCTACTGGCAACTGAATTGTTCAATGTGAGCTGGTAATGAGGGCTTTTGCATTACTTTGGGTTATTTGTTCGTCTTTTTTTTTTAGTATGGTCATCATTAATTTATTAGCTTATTTATTTTTCAGATAGTATAAACTGAAGCAGACTACATGGGAGGTAAACTAAATTTGAATAGAAGGGAGAAGTAAAGGGTAAGGGGATAAAATTATGGGCTGGCATTTTGAAAGGGTTGTACACAGTACACATACTGTACAGAAGTAAAACTATTTGAATGGTGAAGCGTTTTGGTTTTACTGTTTTAAAAGCAAAGATAAATGAGTCTATTGCTGAAGGCTTTTTAATGCTCATTGGTTTTTTTGCCTTGTGTTCTTTATTTCTCAGACAGGGTTGGTGGAAGGACAGAAACGGTGCCTCTTGTTGCCTACACTGGTTCAGACTCATGGGACCTAGGTGGTCAATGGGTAGGAAGGTAACGTTTTTTTCAATTGCATCAAAGAATCTATGCCTTCTTAGAACAAAGTTTTGGTATGTTTGGCCTTTTAGCATTGCACCTCACAGTGTGCGGGTATCCCCTCAGTACACACTGCTGTGCTCTCGAACTTCCCAGGAAAGGCCTGCACTTTCCAGAAATTAAGAAGAAAAATAAATTCATGATTCCAAGGCAGAATTGTCCTCCTATCTTTGACATAAATTCAGTAGTTAGCTGTGTGGGATTGGAAGACAGTAGGCCTAATATTGTTTCAACAGTTTCCGACCGACTTGCCTCAAAGCTGGTTGTCCTGGATGGCTTCATGTCAGGAAGCCACAGAGAGCTAATGATTCACTCTGACTAAAAGACACAAAACTGTGATAACAATGATATTGTGCAGAGCCTAGTGTGGCCAGCTTTATGTTGAAACGATGTTTGTGGGTGAATTTTTTTTTTTTCTCAGGATTGAAAATCTTAAGATGAGATGATTTTTTACTGTCCAGATGCTGGCACATTGGGTCTAAATTTTACAGTACATACCCACACACACCCACACACACACACCCACACACACCCACTCCCACCCACAGACACCCACACCCACACCCACACCCACACCCACTCACACACACACACACACGCACACACACACACACACACACACACACACACAGATATTGTGTACGAAGTTAAAAGTAGAAGAAGACCATGAGACTGAGACCTTCTACTGTGAAAACAGCTTTTCTAAGCTCAGGGTCACTGTGTCTATTCCAGATGTCAAGTCCATGTGACCAAGTTGTTGAAAGAACTCCAGCTGAAGACATACCCTCAGTACATTGCGGGCAAGAAGTTGATGCAGCTAGGGCAGGGCAAGGTCCACTCGTACACATCCACCATCCCTCGCCTGTCTATCCTGGAGCTCCTTGACTTGTACTTGTTCATGTCCAAGGTGAGGCAACTTCTTTATACAGTCGGGCCCAGATATCATGAACATGGTAAACTCTAAATCAGGGATAGCGCATACAATTTACCATTTCTTCGATAGATATGTGTTGTGGCGTCACAGTGAAATCAGGCACTTGTCAAAATGATTAAATTAGAGAAAGGGACATTTTTTCACCTTTGTGGCAGTTTCTATTGATTTTTTTGTTTTGTGCTCAGCACCTTTTGTGCCATTGAAAACATTCCTGCACGAATTTTACTGAAAAATGTTGAACGAGGGCACCACAAAAATTTTTAAAAAATCAGTTTTCAAGGACACTACAACTTTGGAAGTCAATTAACTTTGATGTCCATTTTCTCTCTGATTTTACCTCTGACACCAGGCGCCCCCCACCTCCTTCATTTATCTATCTTAACTTTGAACGAGACCCCATCCCCAACCCGGCCCGCCTGAGAGAAAGCGTGTACGTAAAACAGCTTTTACTACACGACATTATCGATTATTTTGAAGATCTTTCTGAATTAGATACTGATAATGACAAGGACTACCCTCGGTGGGATTTGGAATGTGATTATAACGATAATATGAATGTTAGAATTATATTGCTCAAGAGCTCAAGTAGAGAGGCATGGTAGCCTCAGGAGGCCAGGGTTCAAAGGGATAAGAATATGCCTATAACTCATTATGCCGAGAAATTGACGAGCTTCTGATTCCATTACATCGTGATACATATCTCTTTCATTTTTGCACCATATCTTTTTACCCAACTTATGGGTGTGTAGAACATATTTGCCAGTCCCTGATGTGTTTGAGTTATCTCTACCCGACTGTACCTCATCTGCATTTCAATGATGTTATGGTCTACTGGAGTAAATGGTTTCTTGAACATTTTTCAAAAGGCCAAGGAAGAAAAAAAAATGTTCTGAATTAATATTCATAGTGCGATCTGAATCCTGATTTTTATTGAGGATAGGATGATTGACCTCAGCAATGGTTTTGAAAAAAGAGCCCTGTTTCTTCCAGTTTCACAGTTAAAACATAGCGACACTGATATTGTTATGTTCATATCGAAGATGAGACAAAGTGTCTACCTTATTTGCATATCAATGGTTGTATGTAAAACCTTTGCTGAGGTGGATCTGTGGGTCCTCAATAAAAACCAGGAGTCAGCATGCACTATATATGATATAAAAGTACTGAGGGCTAAGTTTTTTGTCTTCTGTTATCATTTAAACTAGAATATTTAATTTTTGTTTTTGTATCTTGAATGATTTTTGTAAAAACACCGCGTGTTGAGAGCATAATGCCGTTGATACATTCCTTTACAAAATGAAGAGCTCAGCTATAGCATTTGTGCCATAGACCCCCAATTTAGTTCTTTTACTGTCTGCAGTAATTACGAACAAACATAGTTTTCTGACCTGTCTTCTTCAAATTAGAATTAGAATAATGTTTTATGGGGCAAGCCAATAGTGTGTATTTCTGAGATTATCAGTGGTTGAGGTATGAATGTGTTTTATGGTTTTTATAGTTCAGGTTTAGGGTCCTCTTCAACACTGATACCATAAATAAGTTAAGAAGCCGGACATCAAATTTAACTTTCAGCTGTGACAGGTCTAATCAAATTGAATAGAAAGCTATGAAAGCCACCCACACTGCCAAAGTTCAAAAGTACACTGCTGGTAAACAGAGATGAAGGATAGTAATTAGTGCTGTTGTTTAGCTTTTAAATTTGGTTTACTTCATCACCATCATTCACCTCTCTCAGACTGATGTTGGATGTAGGCTACCAAGAAGGGCTCTTTACCTGCCTATGTTCAGAGCAATCTTCTCCACCCCCAGCCAGCTGTGTCCCATATGCCTGACATCTGCCTCTTGATCTCTTTTTAAGCTCTGTCTTGTCATGTTGTGGGCTGGCTTCCTGAGTGCATGTCCAATCTATTATTGTCTTCTTTTTTTATATGCCATAGCCAATTTGTTGTTGTTTGGTTTTTCCTGCCTTTTTTGTTTTTCCTTTTCATGTGTATACTGCAGACAGTCGCAGCTTAATGTTAAATGTGTTGAGCTTAAATTTTAAATGGCATTGTTATATCATTGCTTCAATGAGAAGTAGTAGCAGTGATAAAAATAATATTATGTTCAAGTTTTTTAAAGTGCTTTGTTATGCTTATTCTACCATGCTGAATTTTTGTTTTGGTGCTTGATTACATGACATGACAATGACGACTCATCTTTTTGTTTGATAGATTGAGTACTACCAGAAGCAGCTGTTGGTGGAAGACCCCTACTCGCACCCCAAAGCTGTTCAGTGGGATGCCATGAGTGCTGCGGCTTTTCTTGACCGCACTCTATACACCAGTGGTAAGTGCTCAGGTTTGATCTTGAAGAAGGGTTTTCAGTAGAGTAATGTTAGAATTGTATATATAGTTGCTTTTGTGAAATAACATCTTATCATGCTCATTTATTGGTGTATGTATGAGGTATAAAAGAGATGGGAAAGTGATAAGAGAGGGGAGGGGGGGGGGAGAGAATGTGTATGTCTGTTTGAGTGGAATTGTTTATTTTTGTGCTTTGAGATTATTTGTCTTGGGATGTTACCTGTCACCCAAGTATCGATTTGTAGGAGGTTGACATGTTTGAAAGTTGTACCCTTTTACATAAGATGGCCTGTGATGGGGATTCTCCGAAAATTTTCAACAACAAAAAATTTACCAACGACTGCACTGTTGCATTGTGGATTTGAACAATTTCTTGCTGTGGGAAAGTGGGTGTGGATAAACTATTGCTGCACTGCACTTGAAAGAGTTACGTACTACCATTTTTCCTCCTACTTGAACATGAGAACATGAACATGCAGGGAAAAGAATTACTGCATCAAACAATAACATTGAGCTGACCTGTAGAAGCATTCTTTGTAATGTAAGTATTTAGACGTCTAGATGAATGTAGACTTCTGTATTTTTTTATTTTATCAAGTATGTTTGTTACCTAGTGAAATAACACCTTATTATATTTCTTAAAAAAAAAAAATCAAACCACTCTCTGAGACTACGTTTTTAAAGTTAAATACGTAAATTTTTTCCCGGCTTCAGGGGGAGCTGACCCCCTGCTGCTGTCGCAGAATCTTCAGAAAAATGTTTCGGGATTAGTCCTCATCCCTGGAAGACTCTTGCAGTTTTTCTGTTATGTCAGCCCTCTGAGTCCTGATCCTGTGAACCATGTAGGAATCATGCACTTGAGCTCCCATTAGTCAACTGCTAGATTTGCACCAATGCATTCTGAGGTGTGCCTTCAGTCCACAACAAAGTTACGGATGAAGGCAAAGTAGGCCTGCGGATAGTATGTTCAGGTTCAAAGTGTGTCGCACAAGACCTGTTTGAGTACAGTAAAATATTGTATGTTTTACTAATAAAACTCCACCGCAATGAATCCTTTCTCGATGTGCAGAATAGTTTTTAGTTTTTGGTCATTGTTTATTACCAAGGCTCATTTGTTGTCTCACTCCCACCCTTTATAATGTATCCTTTTTTTTCTAATAACACTTCACTACAGTACTTTATTTTTGGTTGCGTGCAATTTTTTTTTTCAGTTATGGATTTTTACATGACCTGATGGCAGCCCCTTCCCCATAAAAAGTTTGTTATTTTTCTGTATAAAGCTTTGCCGCAATAGATCCTGTTTGGTTGTGCAAAATTGTTTTTATTTTCAGTCATCATTCTTTACTTGATTAACTCGATTAATTTGCAAACTTTCCCCCCCCCCCCCCCCCCCCCCCCTATATTTTTTTTGGTTTGTTTTGTCAGCTGCCCGGGGGACAGTGGCAGCAGCAATGCGCTGCGTACTGGGATGTGAGCTGAGCCAGGTCTCGTTCCTCTACTATCTCCTGTACATACGGATGGCTGGCGGCATTACCCAGCTGATCGAAGCCACTGAAAACACCGCTCAGGAATCCCGGATATGTGTGAGTGAAAGGAAGGTTGAGAGGACTGGCATCTGTATAGTAGTTGGGTTTTTTTTGTCTTTTGCAGGGGCGTCTATGACGAATGTAAAAGGGTTACAATCATTTGAGGTCTAGATGTATCTGTTTGTTCTTGATGTTGTCATATTCAATCATTTTGTGCTTGTAGTCTACT